CCTCACATTTCTACACAACTAAAAGAAAAACGCAAGTTCGTCGAAGACTACATTAACTGTGGCCTCCTACCCGGAACTTTATGTAACACTTTATCATGTTTTGCCAAGAAACGATTCATCTGTGTTAATATCCTATGGGGGCAGGAGAACCATAAGCTTGTAAGTAGTTCTCGTAATAAAAATTTGACCTTACTCACATTAGTAAGTAATATGTTTGGTGCGCACATGAAGAGGTGGTTGGTGGATTCTCACAGCATTCAGGGAATAAAAAACATCTGGGAGCGTATTAAGGGATTTACTAGTAATAACGGAAGATGTCGAACTGTTTGACAGCTGATCAAGAGCCTTTCATGACACAACTAACCACGTATTTCATTCGGAATAATCCGGATTATCCCCTATCCATATCGTTCTTCTAATCAACAACTCTCCTCAGTACAACACGGATCTTGTGGATCGATAAGAAACGTAAGGGTTGAGAAAGACTTTGTACAATGGAATTTAAATAGTATCAGAGTGAACATAAATGATAATGCACAAGACCAGATGGGTCCAATTAAGCTTTACGGGTCAACCAACCTGCCAAACCCCAATGCTGTGGGCCGGATGAGCGAATGGGCGCTGAAAACTGTGTGTCAGTTTGAAAGCATCAGCACGAATCTCGACAATGTTGTTTAGCAACGCCAACGCAGCCGCCACAGGAAACACGCATGAAAACATGCTAATGTAGCCGAATTGAATAAATATCTCGAGAAAATCCTCATCCGGACCATCATACTAGGTAATGGGTGGACACGATACAGTTTCAATATTGGTGGTATAAAGATAGATGAAGGCAGTTGCAAAATAAATAAGCCCCGCAGAAAAAACAATAACAACACTAAAAGTAGTCACGGAATAGCAACAGGTACTGTCCGTTTGAAGCAATTTGTCCACAGGGAATAAAGAAACGACACATTCCAAAACATCTTGTAGTTATTCTGACTTTAGTGGAACTTCATTGGTATTTTAGGACGACAAACATTGATAAGGTGAGCTTAATTAGCTTCTGAGATCAGAAACGGCTATACCATGTACCTAAAGAGAACTGATAAAAGATGCACTAGAATTTGGCGGTGAGAAAACACGGTAGGTGATTGTATCCTGTTGTTTCATTCGATGGTCGACAAAGTGAGGTAACCTATCTGAAATATCGTTTAAGGGAAATGCGAATAAACAGTTCATTAACGGAGCGCCCTAAGAAGGCACGGATATTCCGACTTATCCAATGTCAACTTAGAGGTGCTTTTGGACGAAATACTAGTCAACTAATAAAAGTGAATTTTCAAGAAATAAGGAATACATCAATCTGAGAAGGGTGGATTGGATGTAAATATGAGCAAGATCTGCAAATTAAAAAACATAGTGAAATGATCGTTTGGTTGTTAAAATATACGGTGCACAGTAGAGCTACGATACTCAGCTAATGACTTCACGCTGGGAGCAAGGGCACATCCAACTGGTGTAACGTTACTTCGATCGATCACCGTCTGAGGATAGTGAGACAAGCTCTGATTGGAGTTTACTTGGGATAGTGATTTGATCGGACGGAACCTCCCCCGTTTTCGGATGTCTCAAGGCAAGGAGACCAACAACCGGCGATTTAAGTGAATAGCGGACTAGCTAAAAATTCCAAAGCGGTGTAAAATACCCTCAGACGTATAAATCAGCAAGTAATACAGTGCCAGTATGATAATTATACCAATCATAATTATGCGAACCGAGAAAGACATTCAAATCTGCAAGAAAAAGTGATGAAAGATATTCCAGTTTTACGGACAGCTGAATACCAGACAACTGAGGCGCAGATTCAACCTTGAAAAAAGTAGTTTGTGGACGTGCGAGATCTAACAATAGTACAAAACGAACAACCAGACAAAAAGATCGGTAATAGCGCAATCAATGCAGCGAACCACGTGCTCTAGTTACCTTTGACGAAATCCAGACAACCACATGTACCAACATTCATTCAGTTCGAAAGATGAATAAGGAAAATATATCTGAGCAGCAAAAATAAAACGAGAGATAGTGAAAAATATCAACTGATCGTTCGCAACTAGTTCACCTTTTGATGAGGCAAAAGCCTGGAAAGGAAAGTGAAATGATTGCTTACTGGTAGAAGTGTTGCTTCGCGTTCTGGTGCATGAATAGGCTGTTCATCGGGACTTTCTGGTGAAACAGAGGAAAAAGATTATCGGAAGGAGTAGTAGTCGTCACCAAGACATTTCAAAACAAAGAAAAGATTGTCTTAATTAATCGTGAACATCTGTTCACAGTCATCATTTTCGATGCTGTAAACACTATTACGATAAACCATGACGTTAAGCGGATAAACTGTTTAATTATGAAAACCGATAGCATTGGAGTGATGAAACACCCAAGACCAGAATGGGGCTGTCGTTAGGTATTCCAGCATGCTAGACAATACTCTGTTTTGAATGATTCGTGATAACCAACGAAACACTTGGAGGAAACCGGAAAATATTTTCGTGTGTATTTCTTACCGTGATAATCACAAAAATATGCGTACGGTGAACTGAGACAGATCATCGAGAGCGCATTACCGAAAGAAAAGTTTCAAGAAGGCAAATTGAGCAATTTTTGAAAGAACCCACAGACGGTGAACTCGTAATAAACAGCTTCTTATTTCATTGTAGCCGAGACTTACCATTCCCGGAGACATTCGCATCAGAGTGGTCTTTTCGCTGGCGAATTTCTGCATCAGGATTCATGTCTCCATCAATGGTAGTAGGTTTAGACGTACTGCATGTTTCGTTATGAGGTGTTATGCTGTCCTGTTGTTGTTTGTGACGCTCGTACCGAAATGAGAGAAGGACTTGGCGTAATCGAGAATGTCCATAGGGAAGGAATACTTCACGTAAGTTGCCTATGCACTGGCGCGTAATCAACACAGTTGTGAGTTGCTGAATAAAATGAAAAATAACTTATTAGTGAAAATGCGACCCATAAAGCACGCCATTACAGAACGTGAAGTTGGAACCAACCACCTATTTTTGGTTTCTTAAATTTTGCCTAAGAGAAAGCGTATGAGAAAAGTAATTCGGATAATGACGACTGACAAAATGTTAAAAATCAGGGATTAAAAAGCCATGTTTTCCAACATTACTTGAAGATCGGAGCAATGGTTATTACAACCACCAATATGAAATGGAACAAATGTTTCGTACGCATAGTTGGAGGTGGTGCACGAGGATCGAAATTGTTCGTCATATTCAGGGGACCGATACACTAGTTGAATACAAAACTTTCTACTGAAAACTACGTCGTGTCTGAAGAGATTCTCAAACGAAAAGCATCGACGGAAAGATATTGATTACTTCACCAGAAGAACTCCTATCATGGTTTTTACACTAAAGAAGCACAATGCTGAAGTAAGGTGATGCAGATAACATCGAAAATGTGGTTCTTAATCTGTAGTACATGGACGATATGTTTCTTCCGTTGTTCCATAGAAAATCCAGAGCGTCTTCGAAAAGTTAGAGGCGCTGATTCAAGGAGTCGGTTTCAAATAGAGATAAAAGAGAGCAAATTTTATCGGTGTGGGAAGACAGTACGTCCATGACAGTCGAATCGGAAAAAGCGTGCTTCGTAAAGGCACGTCGACAGAAAGATGTGCCCACTAAAGACGCTTTGTCCCGCTGAGGTAACAACGGGAATTACTCGACTTTTCAGCATGAACAACTATAAATAAATGCAGCCGAGGGACACTTAAATAAGTGATGGAGAAAATATCAGAAATTGTCGAATGCAGATGAAGCCTTTTAATTGACTATGCACAGATGAAAGACACCACCAAACTCAAGTTGGCATAGACAAGAGGACGAGAGTTTTAAGTTATTTCATCTGTGGGGGAAAGAGATTCTCGGACAAATTATAACTAAGTCATTGGCAAATCGTTTCCGATGGCGTATACCAGAGTTCAGACTAAGAGAAAATAAAAACAAACAATCACAGCTTGCAACATTTATTACAGATTTTTCTTCTACACTAGTAGTGCTCATAATATTGAACGAAAAATGAGCCGACTTTTGAAAAGGACAGCAGGACACTGTTTAGTTTCATGAAGTCCGGTCAGAAAACTTGGTTGATAGTGGGGCAAATGTATACTAGATAAAGGGACTGCGATAAGGACGAACATAAGCGCTATTCCAAATATTTGTGTAGGAGGTTCCTTACAAGAGTGGGTAAATGAAACCTAAATTGTGCAAATAACTTAACCAGATACAAACCACAGTGTTAACGTATTCATGAAGAATCGCAACAAGGTGTTTCAATGGTACAGAACTACCTCGACAGCGCGTGTGTTAATCTCGTTCTCTCACTTTATTCCGAAGTGAAACTCACTTATTATACCAAAATTCACAAAGTTTAAGAACCTAATTACCAAATTATTATTATTAATAGAAATAATAGTTGTCAGATCACTGAATGTCACTTTCCCTCAATCCGAGCTATCGTACAATATGACAGTAGCTTATACGAAAGTTAGAAAACATTTTTTCGCTTTACATTTCCGAGTACAGATCACGCAAATCTCCGTCAAGGTGAAATAACAAGGAACCAACGATGGGTAAAAGTGTGGACTCTGCAGGGTGATTCCCATTCTAATAGGATAATATGGGAATCGCGACGCAAGTAAATGCGATGCTCGTAAATTCCTTTTAGAACGCTTTTAGAGGAGTACGTGTTGTTATATAGATCGTTTACAAAAGATAGGACCCAAACAAAATCAATTGACGCAACAGCAATGACTATGCAACCGAAGTAATAGCGTTTGCTAAAGCGGCAAACCGACACTCATCACAATGAGGTCACGCGACACAGTAACAGTTCGACGAAAATTCCGGTCAGTTATAAGACGCCAAAGTTGAACAATTTCAATAGAGGCCGACAAATATCATGGCAAAACGTATCACACCGATTTTAGTCAACGAGGTTTTCATTTTTGTGATGAATAATCACGCAGCTAGGCAGGTCGAGTAATCGCTTATTGCACGTGGATGTGTGAACACTGGACAGCAAACTCAGAGGCAAAAAACATTTAAATATATTAACTTCATTGTCACTCGATGAAACTTCCTTAAAGATACGTTAAATCGGTAAAATACAGCTAAAGAGTATCCTTTATTGTGTAAAAAAGTATATCTGGGTCAATACTATCTAACAAAGCTGAATCATTGGATCTATTGGCTTAGGAAACCGCAATTCTTAGTCAAAATACAATAAAGCATTCGATTTGATAAACAAGAGATCTGCTGTGAATATAAATGAGTATCTCCAGAGTTTCGGCAAAATGAGGAAATCATCGGATAACGCCATTACTTCATTTAAGCGTATTTCTAGTTTAGCATCAACGCAAAGAATTACAATAGCTATTGATTCCGGTTACTACCGCGTGCCATGACGCCATTTATAATCCCGTGAGTGAACAGTGGATCATATGAGCAAACAGGGTAGTCCGTCACTGAAAGCACTGGCATTCATAATACTGCTATTGTGTTTCTGTTGTACGGAGTGCGATAGAAAAACGGAATATCAGTAGCATAATCTGTGGAAGCAAACCAACAGCAATGAGGTTTTTGTACCGCGATTATAGATGAATATTTAGAGTACCACGAAGATCGTTTGACGAAATCGATTCACGTTCACTATCACTGTGGAAAATTGAACCGTTGTACGACATTTGCAGAGCGGTTGTGAAAGTGCGGCCGTTTAACTGAAACACTGTGAGGTGAAGGTTATATTAGATACAGCAGATGAAAGACCATGGCATGAAAACAGCGAAAAGAAATCAAACATGAAAGCTGGTAATCTTTTGAAGCACAATTATTCGGCGGAAGAAAGTCCAGCTTCATAAGGAAAATCACTTGAAAACAATCGGGATGTATGTGCGCAATTAGTAAATAGTGGCATTTCAAAGGAAGGCTAAGAGCAGAAGTACGTTGGGATTAATGGAAGTAGGATGCACATGAAAAGGATTATGTATGAAACTATGCCTTTGAATGAAGGATGGTCCTGCCGCGAACTACGGTAAAGTAAGACCCATATTGGACCATAGTACAACATCAAAGTCAGCAAAAATTCCTCCGCGATATACTTCTGAAAACTTCGGGTATGTACTATCGATCAGTTTGTGTTAGTGCCGGGAAATGTGAATGTGTCAAAAACAATCAATAATTTCAGCTATGTCGTTTTTAAGTACTATGATTTGCTTGTCCCTAGATATTGTTTCGTGTTATGTCAACACCGGGTCTGCTGGAACTTAAAATATATGAACGGAATAGAAAATAGTGATTCAATAGGACACCTTACCTGCTGTAGCATTTCGAGATCGCGTAGATAGAAAGCCGTATAGAAAAGTGAATAAAACGAGTTCATGAACTGGAGCTGAAAGTAGAAAAGAAAAAAACCATGTCGCGATGTAGCAAAGTTTAATTATAGATAAAAGAATCAATGAAACTCATGAACAATCGTTACTTAATCAATATCTAATCACTTGGGGAAAGACAGAGGTAAACAATAGGAGTACCGGAGAACGTTCAACCTCATACAACAAAAAACTCCTTATTAAAAATATCATGATTAACAGAAGAAATATAAATAATGAACAACAACACTGAATTATGAGAAAATTCACGATTTCTTCTATCTTACTGTTG